TCAATCTTCTCCTAGTTCTGGCATCCAGCCAGCATCCGGCAGTTTCATCACAGCTGGAATCCTCTGATACACTTTCCTGATTAACAGTTAACACCTGAGGTGCAATCAGGGAGGGAGTTCCAGAAGAGGAAGACGTCTCTGAAACTTCTAATAAATCAGGTTCATCTCTCAGATTCAACTCCTCCTCTTCCCCCAGACTCCTCTCAAGGTCGCTCAGCAATGCAGGCTCGAATCTCAATGCCATATCTTCCTCCTCACTCGAGCCCACACCTGCTGACCGATCAGGTTCAAGTCTCGGAGTCACAACATATATATGTTTTCTGAGGTTCTCGCGGGTATTTGTATGTGGATCTTTGGTTATTCGGGTTTTCTCCCACGTAAGATTGGAAGTATCTAGGCAACGTTTCGATGAAGTCTCATTCATCATCTTCAGGCTTCTGTCTTCAGCTCTGTGCTTCTCAGAGTGATGTGAGCTTGCAGCTGCTTCTTCCTTTTAACTGCTAGTGGGGGTGTGACTTGATTGGGTGGGGGCTTGGCTGTGTTCTGATTGGGTGGGGGTGTGTTCTCATTGGTTGGGGGTTTGGCTGTGTTCTGATTGGTTGGGGGGTTGGCCATGTTCTGATTGGCTGGAGGTGTGTTCTGTTCAGGTGGGGGCTTGGTTGTGCTCAGGTTGGTCTTAGTTACTGGGGGATTTGAGCTGGTGAGCTGTGATCTTGCTGTTTGGCTTCGAGTTTGTGGTCGTGCTCCATCTTCATGGTGGGGGTCAGTTCGCTTCATGTATGGCTCAGAGGGGTTTGAAGTGGGTAGTGATGCAGCTGCAGTGCGGCTTCTGGTCTGTGGTCGTGTCTCATCTTCTGTGTGGGTGTGAGTCTGCTTTTTACGTGGAAGTGTGGTGGTGGCATCTTGTGTGGCCCTCGTGGGTGTGGGTCTGGTGTCATTCATCATGTTAGGTACTCGTCTGTTCATGAGGGCAGGTTTCCAAATGGCTGGTAAGCGGGAGGTGTCATCTCTTTTATTCATGCTGTGTGGGCGTTTTTCTATCTCTATGGCTTCTCTGATTATTCTGTTGTTGAAGTGTTCGGTTTTGGCGATAGTTCTGGTATTTTTAAAGTCAATCTCATGTCCTGTGGCTTTGAGGTGTTGGACCAGGGAAGAGGTCGGTTCTTCTTTTTTGATTGAGTTCTTATGTTCTTCAACGCATGCACTTATTCTTCTGTTAGTTTGTCCAATGTATGTGGTAGGGCAGGCTGTGCAAGGGATTTCGTATACTCCTTGGTTTTCTAACTCGATTTTGTCTTTAGGGTTTCTTAGGATGGTGGATATTTTTCTGTTTGTGCAGAATGCTGTTTTAATGTTGTGTTTTTGGAGGATCTTGCTGATTTTGTCTGTAGTGCCTTTTATATATGGGAGGAGGGCTTTGCCGTTCTCTTGTTCTCTGTCTTGGATTTTGGTTGGGGTTTCTTTTTGGATTAGGTAGGTAATCTTCTTTCTTTGGAATCCATTGGCTGTTAGTACGTTGGTGAGAGTGTTTAGTTCGGTTTTTAGGTGTTGTTCATCAGCTAAGCATTTTGTTCTGGAGATGAGTGTCTCAGCTACGGAATTGATCTGTGCTGGGTGGTGGTGTGAGAGTGCGTGTAGATAGTGGTTTGTATGTGTTTTCTTCTGGTAGATGGTGTGTCCTAGGGAGCCATTGGGTTTTTTGTATACCAAGACATCTAGGAAGGGAAGTTGATTGTTAGCTTCTGTTTCCATGGTGAATTGTATTTTGGGGTGTAGGCTGTTGAGGTGTGTGAGAAAGTTGTTCAGTTTTTCTTTCCCGTGTGGCCAGATTATGAAGGTGTCATCTATGTATCTGAGCCAGAGTTTGGGTTTGTGATCATATTTTTCTAGAGCTTGTGTTTCAAAGTGTTCCATGTAGAGGTTTGCGATGACAGGTGAGAGGGGTGATCCCATGGGTGCTCCTTCTATTTGTTTGTATTTTTGTCCATTGTAAGTGAAGTATGTATTGGATAGACAGTGGTTGGTCAGATCCAGGATGTGCTGGGGGGGGGTTGTATTTGTTTTGGATGGCTGTCAAGGCTTCTTTTATTGGCACTTGGGTGAAGAGGGATATGACATCGAAGCTCACTAGTAGGTCGCTGGGTTGCAAGTTTTGTTTCTTGATGATCTCAATGAACTGGAATGAGTTTTTTACATGTGAGTTGATGGATTCTGCATAGGGCTGTAGTTGTTTGGCGAGAAATTTGGCTAGGTTTTGCAGAGGTGAGCCTATGGAGCTGACTATTGGTCTAAGTGGGGTTCCTTCTTTGTGTATCTTGGGGAGACCATAAAGCTTAGGGCATCTGGATGATTTCTCTCTGGGTATGATTCTTTGCTGGATTTCTTCACTGATGGGGGAGGCTTTTATTTTGGATCTGGTGGTTTTTTCTAGGTAGGTGGTGGGGTCTGTCTTTAGGGGTTTGTATGTGGGGTCTTGGAGTAGGTTGGTTAACTTGGTTTGGTAGTCAGATGTGTTCATAACCACTGTCGCGTTGCCCTTGTCTGCTGGTAGGATTATTATGCTGGTGTCTTCTTTCAGGTTAAGTAGTGCAGTTTGTTCTTCTTTGGATAAGTTGCTTTTGGGTGGTTTGCTAGTGCAGAGGATGTTGGTGATTTCGAGTCTGATTCTATTAGCATCATCAGGGTTGGTTTTGGTCAGGCTGGTTTCAACTCCGCATATGATGGTTTCTGTGGGGATGTGTTTGGGAGCGACAGCAAAGTTGAATCCTTTTGAAAGGACCTTGGTTTCGGCTTCGGTGAGGATCTTGTCTGAGATGTTGTGCACTG